AAACCAAAGTGAGGTGCTGAGAGGTGTCAACCTTTCAGACTTAACAGCAACCCATTCAGCCTTAAACAACCCCCTAATTTCACAGCCACTTCACTTCCCCCATTAATTTGCCCACCAAGCTGAGCTCAGTCTTGTGCTTTCTGCCCATTTATGAGGGAGCTTCAGGGAAATCTCCCAATAACTTCCAAAGAGTTTGGCACTTGCCTCTGCTTGGGGATCTTGCCCTCTTTGAACCACCTGCACTGGGGTGAACCAGTTTGTGTTGCCTTTTAATTTTATGACACAAATTCTGCTAGGCAATAAAAAAATTGCTGCCTTTACTGAAGTGAAATGTGCCCACATCTGGCTGGAAGTCTCCATAATTAGATAGCAGAGACTGAAAAGCATTTCCTCTGCTAAGTTGTTTCCTTTTATTTTCCCTTCTCTTCAAAGTAGAACAAATCTGCACAAATAGTCAGTTCACAAAGCCACTCTCTAACCACAGGAACACACAGATTTGGGTGCATGACAGGGAACCTTCTCATTGTACAGAGATACAGGAACAGCAGGAAACACCACTGCTCAACAATTCAACTCCCCTCAGATTCCCTGCAAGAGGTGCCCTTGAAAAGCTTCATTTCTAGAATAAGGGGTGTTTTCCTAAATAAAAGGAAACATTGAACACCTGATCTTGTCAAAGCTGCTCAGTTAAGCCGGGAGCAACCTCAGATCCGCTGAGGTGACACAACCAAACACATCCCAGCACTGCTGGCTGGGCCTGGCCAGTCCTCATTTGGCTTGTGATGAAACCCTCTCTTATCCACACAGAAAGCCCCCCAAAAAAGCCAGACAGCTGGGTCAGGAGCATGCTGCTCTGCCTCATTACGGTTCAGGGATCATTTTGGTTATTCCTTTGCCCCGAAAGCACAAGCTGGTAGAGTGCTCCTCACCTCTCTGCCAACACAGTGCAAGGTAGGCTTTGGTACAGGTCTCTACCAATGCTGCAGGTAGTTTCTTCTTCCTAATGAAGTGCTAAATAATTCAGAAGAGATATTTTTAGATTATGTGGTTGCTTATCGAGCTTGAAAAAGTCACTTTGCCTCACTGTGCTCAACTTGTCGTTGTCAATTAGTACAAGCTTCTGAATCCCAGCAAAACTCCAGCTGTTGTCCATGCCTGGGGGGTTTAAAATCAAGCCTAATTAGGGCAGTGTGGGGGAGTTCAGACTCAGCTGGGATGCCATGTGCCCCAAAGCCCATCACATCCAGAGTGTGCCTCACTGGGAATAGGGTCACACGTGGCACGGAGAGGCCGCTGCCCTCCTGGGGATGGGATTCCCCCCAAACACCCCCTGTGTGAGAGTCCCCATGGCAGCACCTCTGCAGTGCCTTAAACCACGGTGGAGGGGAGAGGAGCAGCAAGAGCCTCCTCCCGGGCAGTGGGAAGGGACCAAACCCCTCCGGGAAGGCTCCCTTTGCTCCAGGGACTCAGATCCGCCCTGGGGCAAACGCTCCCCTTCTGCTTTTCACCAGCCACAGACTTGCCCCCCTGGGCTTTAATTTACCAATTACCCCCGAGCTAAAAGCCAGACCTCGGGCTTCCCCAGCCCCGCAAAGGGTGTGTTTACAATTTATTAATTATTATCACTTCTCATAATTGAACTCAAAGCTTCTTACGGCTCCCTGCCCCGTCCCCTGGGGCGACCCTCCCCTGCTCCAACACATTCCCACCCTTAGGGAAGATGTTGTTTATTATGCTGATCCCACAGCTCAGGAATACTCTCCTGACAAAGCCCCTATTAACCTCAGAGTGTGGGCCTGAGTTTCTCGGAGTTTCCCACACTTTCTTCCCCGTTTGGGGCATTCAGAGGGGCACAAAGGCAGCGTGTGCCTCACAACAGCCCGCATTAGTGCCGCTCTTTGGCTCCGCATTGTGCCGACCAGCAATTCCTGTCCCGATGGACCATCTGGAGAGCTATTTTCCCAAGGAGCACATTGATCGATCAGTATTATTCGAGGGCCCTTTTAAAACTTGGGAACGTTATGCTCTTTGACACTAAATAGGTGTCTCGAGAGGGGCTGTCAGAAAGATTTTAAACCATTTAAGGAAGGCAGAGAAAAAAAAAACACGTAAAAATCGTAATTATTTCTTTAAAAACGCCGTCAATAGCATCTGGGAGACAGGCTGACATGAATGTAGGAAATGGTCTAAAGTAAAAATGCTCTGAAATTGGTACAAGCTGGAAGCACAGCCGCGGAGGTACAGGACACTGATTTTAAAATCTGCATAATGAAATTCTGGGTTTCTGTACTCTTTCCTGACTCCCTCCAGACCTGTTGCTGCATTGCAGCATGCTGGGTTTGCCTCCACAGAAAGCCATGGATCAGATGGGCTGAGAAAGCTGCCAACTGGTGTTAAACTGGGAGCAGCTTCTGTGTAGAGTGTGTGCAGCAGGTCTACACCTGGGCTGAAATCACCACCTACAAAGGCCAGTACCAGTTCCTCAGGCTAGGGGACCTCCAGCTGCTTTGATTTATGGACTGCCATGCCTATGAGGACAGTTTTGGGGTGGTTGTTCCTCAGCTCACAGCAATCCCTGGCTCCCAGATCCCCGCCACAGGCTCAGGGCACTGCTGTCCTCTCTCAGGAGCAGCTCCAGACCTCACACCACCCCCCAGAGAAGGGAATTATTGTGTCACATTCCTTAGTTAACTCCACGTTGGGAAGTTTTGGGGATTTGTCTCTTTTAGTCCTTCATTCTCTAAACAGGGAAAACCCTGTATCTGAGCCAGCCCCAGGCAGTCCATCTTTCTGGCTCTGCAGCAACAGCCGGAGAGACACAAACTCCTCCCACGGATATGGAGCACAGTGACAAGGATTTGGACCACAAACACACTCCAGTGGGACAGACTGTTGCTGTAAGAGCAGAATTTTTAAAAAAGCCCAAACTGAGCAAACTAGTTACAGACTTTTAACAAAGAACAACTGGATTGCAGCACACCATAAATCTTCCTTCCTGAAATCCTTGCAGGAAGTGCCTACTGCACCCAGCCCCATAAGGAATATCCTGTAGGGACAGCCTAAGGCTGGACAGTTTATTATTCCAAAGCATCAGTTGGGAAATATCATTGCCATTGAGTTTTCAGGTCTTACTAAGGGAATTCCTCTCACCCACCAGCAGTGTCAGAGGGTAGGTGAGGCAGGCACAGGGGGATGGAAGGTTAGTGGTACCTTTCCAAGGGACAGAGAGAGGGGGAAGCTGGGCTGTGGGGAGCCCAGAGGGCTGCTGTGTGTGCCTGGTTCCCCATTCCCATCAGATGGTGCGAGCCCACAGCTCCCGGGATTTCCCACGTCGCCCATTGAGGGAGTTAAACTGCCGACAAAAGGCGTGTGCCTGGAGGGTCGGGGACAGCCCGCGGCACCATCTGCCCGGCCCTGCAAGGCAGGGATCAGGCTTTAATCACCGGAGCTGGTTTAGCCCTTTGGAGGCCACGCCATTGTGCTGGGGACAGCGTGGCATTATTTAAAACCGCTCATTCCGTATTTCCAGCGCTGAAAATTGGGTCAGAGCCTCCCTCCCTGCAAACCTGCTCCTTCCCAGACGGTGCGTGCGGGACCTGCTGGCCCTTCCAGCCCACGTGGCCCCGGGAGGGATCCAGAAATCCTCGTGCTGCACTTCCAGCTCCAGCAACAGCACAGGAGCATGCAGGGATTGCCCTGGCTCCAAGGAATAATGCTGATTACAAGCTGGCAAAATAAGTGAAGGAACTGATTTTGAATAGTACTCACAGTCCTTGATCGATTACAGTTGATTGACAAGAATTAAAATTGTTGTACCCAAAGTGATCCACCTCAAATGCCGTTGGGCTGGGAAGGGAGAACAGCTGACCCATGGAATTCCATGAGAAGCCAGGCAGTAAAAAGGGCCTTTAAAAGCTTCAGGTTGATAATTAGTTACAGGATCATCCTTTGCAGGACCATATCTTTTTATTCAACAATGCTCTGTGTGCTGGAGCACATTCCTGTCCATGTACCCACAGAGCCAGGTTTGGGTTATCCACAGGTTGCTGAGGGCAGGTGGAACAGGCTGACTGTGGCTGACAGGGAAATGAGAGGTTTCCCTTCTGGTTTTTGACACAGGAAATAAGTAGAGTTTTCATCAATGTTGTAGTGGTAAGAAACAGGCATTCAAAAACTACATGAGGCCTCACATACCTGACTGACAGATTGGAAGGTGACTGGCTTTGTACTGGGTGGTGCTGGGAGGGGGCAGCAGACCCGAGTAGGACACATAACCTGGAAAAAAAATGTCTCAACAAGGGAGCTTCAGTCCAGGACCCTGCCCAGTCCTTTCCCCTTCATTGCCTGAACACTGAACACACGTGGCACAGAGATGAGCAGGGCCAGGACTGAACAGAGGCACAGGGTGGCCTCACGCCTGTGCCACGTTCTGCAAGGGGAGAATACAGCAAAGCAATGGGCAAGAACTGACTTTTCACTCCACCTCAGCTGTCTGTAAAGGGGGAAGTATATTTAGTTGGAGACTCAGGACCAAGGGAACAGTGAGGCATTTACAAAGTGGCATGAAATTAAAGAGGACATGTTTGGGAAAGGCATCCTAATCACTACATGTCACGGGCTGCTGTAGGAAAGCCCAGATTACCCAAACAAAAGCAAGGAAGAGCTCTTGATATGACTTAGAGAGGGACTTTAAACAATGGAGAGGAAAATATTTCAGGCTAACTGCTTAGCACAAACTGTTTGAAGGGTTCTTCCCCTCGATTTTAGTCTCTCGTTGCCCTGAAAATTATCTGGTACTGTATTCATGTAAGCACGGTTTAATGCCAGTGAAAGGCTTTAGTCCCTCTAATTCTGCATCTTTTCCTTTTCAGCCTCTCCTTTGGGCACCGGGCATTATCTCTTCCCGGGATCAGTTTTCTGTGCCTTATTGCAGCTCGGCCTGGGAACGGGGGCTCAGCGCGGTGTGGCCGTTCCCGACATCAGGCGGGGAGTTGGTGATAATGCCGCCCAAGGCTTTCCCACGTTCCCTCCCCAGCGCCGCGGTGCCAATCCCCCATTGTGTCCCACGCTCCCCAGCCCACCTGCTCCTCTGGGAGCAGGGTATTATCCCCAGGCGATTCACAGCCGATTTGCCATGCTGTAATGGATGCTTTCCCATTGTCCCGCCCGCGCGGGGATTGGCTGCGGACTGTGGGAACCTCCGAGTCGCTCCGGACCCAGACATTTGTATGCGGCCCCCGCGTATAAATAGGGCAGATCCCGGCTCCCTGCTCCACTCCGAGCTCAACCAGCGCTTGGGATAGCGGGGCGCTCTCCCCGGGAATCCCGAGGCCCCGAGGCAAGCACAGAGTGAGTATCCGCTCACACCCAGCAGGGCCGGACCCCTTCGGGTGCAGGAGCTGGGGAGGGGGAGCCTCGCTGCTCACGGCCCCTTCCCCTCCTGTGTTACAGCTCGGGAACAGCGCCGGGCACCGCCCGGGCACGGGATTTACACAGCCCCGGGCGGCCGGGGCTGCTCCGGGAGAAGGGGTTCAGAGGCACCGGCCCGACTCCGAGCTGGAGAAAGGAGCCGTCCCGGGGGTGGCCGTGAGCCCCCCGACCCACGGGCGAGGTGAGTACCCCCGGCACACCCAGCGCCTCTATGGTCGGGCAACACTCCGGCCGGAGCCTCCCCCGTAACCCTTCCCTTCTGCAACCCTTCCCTCCTGTAACCCTTCCCTCCTGTAACCCTTCCCTCCTGTAACCCTTCCCTTCTCTAACCCTTCCCTTCTCTAACCCTTCCCTTCTCTAACCCTTCCCTTCTCTAACCCTTCCCTTCTCTAACCCTTCCCTTCTGCAACCCTTCCCTCCTGTAACCCTTCCCTCCTGTAACCCTTCCCTTCTCTAACCCTTCCCTTCTGTAACTCTTCCCTTCTCTAACCCTTCCCTTCTCTAACCCTTCCCTTCTCTGACCCTTCCCTTCTGCCCTTCCAGCACCCGGCACGAGCCCGCGGCGGGATCATCGCACCCAGAGCCTCAGGGCAGCCCCGCGATCCCCGTCTGCCCGTTCCACCAGCACGGAAACAGGGATGGAGCAGAGCTGCCGCCTCCAGAGGTCACAACCGGCACCCGAGGACTCTGGTTCCCCCCCTGACAAACCCACAGCACCGAATCCCTCCCGCAGCCTCCGGAGGCCTTGGCAGTTCACCATCCCACTTCCATGATCCCTGGACATTTGCTGGTATTCCAGAGGAGCCCGTGACTTGCTGGACAAGTCCCCCCACTCCTCTCACGAGTAGGGAAGAATGTTTCCCTTTCGCAGAGCATTGCTCTGCTCGGATGTGTTGCTTCCCTTCTTCCAGAAGGACCGGGATGATCCCACCGCGTGGAGCGCGAGTTGTTCCGAGGGAATGTGAGCTGTATCCTCCCGCTGGGAGGGCTGGGAAGGGTCGTTCGGAGAGGAACGACGGCTGTTCTTGACCTCTGTGAGGTTGTCCGTGTATATCTTCTGGGAAAGCTGAGGTGGGCAGGACAGAATTCCCAAAAGTGTCCGTTCAGGAGGAGCCTTTTCCTCTGAGACTCCCCGGTGTCCCAGGGTATCCACACCTGAGTGTGGCTGGAGATGGGGGGGTCTCAGAGCAACTCACTGGACACATTTGGGAATATGCCCTTCCCACGGTGCCATCAGGGGTTCTATAACATTTATAGTCTGTGCTGGGCGTGCTCTGGAAATGGTTAAACCATAACCCAAACGATGTAGAGGAAATTCCTCGGGATGTCTTGCTCACAGACCAGGGCTGTTTGTGAGGTTCAGGATGTGTGTGTGTGCGCCTTTTGTAAAGGCTAAAGCTCCTTTTTATGTCCTTATAGGAGAGAAAGTTACGGCCGTGCTGCCGAGCTTACAAGGAATATTTATCAAAGTCTTTCATGAAAGGCAGGTGTATAAATTATATTTACTCTTGGGTACCCTTTTACCAGGGGAAAATGGGAATTCCTTACTGTCCTTGGAGGATGCTGTGACATGTTCTGTGTGAGCTGCACGAGTGTGTAAGTCTGTGTCAGAGTTATGCTGAACTTCAGAAACTGCAGAAAATTTTAACGCTCAAAAATAAATAAAAAACTGTTAAATGAATTCGAAGTTGTTCTTTTTTTGAGTAGTTTTTACAGCTGCTTTCCCCGTGGTCAATGGACACGAGGCAGATTTCAGTGAAAGCAAAGACATTCAGTATTGCCACTGAATTTTCCCACCAGTTCTGTGTCCATCGGGAACCCCTGCAATGCTGTTTTCCACAGCAGAGGATCCACAGCTTGGGAATATCCAACCCCAGCTCCCTCAATGCCAGACAAAAATAGCAGCACGCCCGTGCAGCCAATTCCTCGGGAATTTGGAGCCAAGAAAGGTCACTGCAAGGGTGAACTCGGGAAAACTTATGCCTGACTCCCAAAATCATGAGATGGTTTGGGTTGGGAGGGACCTTAGAGACCACCTAGTTCTGACCCCTTGTCACAGGCAGGGACACCAAACACAGAGAGGGCTTCTGGTTAAGAGAGAGAGTTTTCCAAGGCACTCCATGGCACATTCCATGTTCCTGGGGACGTGCCCAAGTCGCAGAACACTCGGAAATGCGGTGGATTAAAATCCCTTAATTAAAATTAGGGGGGTTCGCTAAAGGGGATACGTGTGGAGCTGCTCCATAGCTGTGCGTGTCCAGCAGTCTCCCGGCCCTCCCAGCGCCCCCCCGGGAGTCTCTGTGCCCATTCCCCACCCTCCCTCACCCCGAGGAGTGTCTCTGCCCCCACCCCAGGGGTCTCACCAACCCCTCTCCTCCAGATCCCCATCCCGGGGTCTCTCCGTGTCTGTGTGTCCCCCCCATCCCGGGGTCTCTCCATGTCTGTGTGTCCCCCCATCCCGGGGGTCCGCTCCATGTCTCCCCCACCCGGGGTCGTCCATGTGGTGTCCCCCCCATCCCGGGTTCTCTCCTTTCTGGGTGTCCCCCCCCATCCCGGGTCCTCTCCGTGTCTGTGTGTCCCCCACATCCCCGGGGTCTCTCCATGTCTGTGGGTCCCCCCCCCCCCGGGGTCTCTCCATGTCCGTGTGTCCCCCCCATCCCGGGGTCTCGCCATGTCCGTGCCCCCCCCCCGGGGTCTCTCCGCCCCCCCAGTGCCCCCCCCACGCTCTCCCCCTGGCCCCGCCCCCTCGCGGTGGGCGGGGCCCCCGCGCAACCCGCGCGCCCTGGCCTCATATTATGCAGATTTATGCGCATATATTTGCATATCAGATGAGGCCGCGGAGAGGGAGGGAGCGAGCGGGTCGCGTTCAAAATGGCGGAGCGCGGCGGGCGCGGCAGCGGCGGCGGCCACGGCAGCCTGGACAAGAGCATCACCCTCCCGCCCGACGAGATCTTCCGCAACCTGGAGAACGCCAAGCGCTTCGCCATTGACATCGGTAACCGGTCGGCGGGCGGGGAGGGTGGAGGCACAGAGGAGGGGGCGGCGGCGGGGGACGGGCGGCGGCTGCGGCCCCGCCGAGGGGACCCGCCGGGGTGGTGTGCGCGGGGCATGCTGGGATTTGTAGTCACTGACGGCCCGCGTGTTGTGGCGGGGCGCGGGGAGGGCACTACAGCTGCCGGCGGGCCGCGCGGCGGGGCTGGCGGCGCGGAGCACCAGGGGAGTTGTAGTCCCGCTGTCCGCTGGCGCCGCGGAGCAGTCGGGGGAGCGGAACTACGGCTCCCGGCGGGCCCCGCGCGGGTAACGGGCCTCGGGCAGGGCGGCCCGGCCGGGGCTGCCCTTGGCGGGCAGGGGGGCACCGGGAGAGCCTGGGGGGGGCTCGGCCGGACCGGCCGGGGGGCGGCGGGACCGAGGAGAGCTCGGCCGGACCCGCTCGGGGCACCGGGACCGAAGGGGGGGCTCGGCCGGACTGGGGGGCGGCGGCTGCGCCCCCTCAGAGCGCCCCAGGCCCGAGTGCGGAGCCCCCCGGCCCAACCCCGGCCCAGCGCCTGGAAGAGACGAAAAGGGCCGTGGAGGGCGGCGGTGACACGGCCCGGGCAGGGCAGAGCGGCTGCGGGGCTTGGCGGGGGGCAGGGGCTGCCTCGGGCACCCCAAAAGCTCTGTGCTAACCCCGAGCACACAACGGCCCCGATTTACACATCCCGGGCCGAGGGACGGGGACACGCGGCAGGTGACACCTGAGTGGCACAGCAGGGACACCGCCGAGCCCGGGGACAGCTCACCCGGGCAGGGATTAGCGGCCATTCCGTGCACACCCACACGAGTGCCAGGTCACACGTTTTGCTTCTGTTTTGCAGCTACAAGGTCAGTCGAACTATTTACGAGAAAGGCCGGGGGGAAAAAAAAAAAAAACCAACCAAAAAAAAGGCAATACTCCTCAGGTTAACACTGCTCCGTGTGCTGGAGACTCACTGCGGGGTAGGAAGGAAACCTGCACCACAATAAACAACCTTGTCGTGTCACCTGTCTGCTCTGCTTCACTCCTTCAGAAACTGCTGGTTTTGGGGCTGTTAAAATAACAGCTGGAACTGGCCCTTTCTGCGGGTCAGCATGGAATTAGAGTTGTGGGATTAGTTATAAAACCTGGCTTCATGTCTCAGCTGGTGTTCTGCGTGGATTTAAGTCTTTAAAAACTGGGAGAGGAAGGGGATAATGTATAAAGCATGGCTCTGCAGACCATGCTTCTGGTGATGAGGGAGCTGGTGGAGCATTTGTGTCGTTGTCAGTGTTGTACAAATGTGGCATTCCAACACAAGCTTCGTGATTCCTCAGTTCAGAGGGGTGGAAGGAAGCTCAGAGCACCCTCACCAGCAGAACAGACCGTGGATTTTGTTTATCAGAAGCTCTAAAGCATTGGCTGGGACACTGAAATCAGATCCCAGGTCAGGGAAGTTTTATTGGTGTTGCAACTATAAGTGTCTGTCACGATCACTCTACATTGGCCTCACTTCAAGTTGTCAGGAAAAAAAACCCCACAGGCTACATGTTGCAAATATTTTCCCAATAAAAATATTGGAGCACTGAGGAAGAGCTGACAGTGCTGTTATGAAGGCAAAGCCATCAGCACAAGGGTTTGTCGTTTGTTTCCTGATTATTATAAGGCACAGAGTGCAGTGCCACCATATTTAGCCATTATTTAGGATCTGACACTGCCAGGCTTTTATTTACTTTCAGGACTTTAACATTAACCCAGAAGTTGGTCATAGTTACCCTCAGGCCTGGAGCACTCAGCAATGTGGTGGAAAACACTGAAGTTATTCAGTGTAACTTCAAAAATTCAGTTTTACAGGTCAGATGCAAAGACAGGTCAAGGGGTTGAGTTCTGTTTCCAGGGGAGAGTTGAAAGTTTTATTGCCATGAGCAGACTCAAGGCCTGAAGAGGGTGAGGAGGCTGCTCTGCTCAGACTTGCACTTCTGGGCTTGAGAAACACCATTCTGAGCATTGTTTACCCCAAAGCCAAGAACAACCTTGTGAAATAGTTACTCAGTACACAGAGTCACCTTCTAACCAGCCACGAATTGCAGACTTGTCCTGGGTTAAGAGTATTATCAGGAACATTATTTAAGTGGTGCTGCTGAAACACTGATTGTGCACGAGGGTTCATTGCTCAGCTGTGGCAAAACCAGTGAGAAAATCCTCTTACAGGCAGCAGATTTGGGGGGTTCCAGAAAGTTTCCAGACAAGGTTAATAACAGCATTACATGCATCAGCCTGGCTAATTAAGAACTTGCACTGCTCACCTTCAGTCATCCCACAGCACTGGGCACAAGCTCAGCTGGTGGAGCTTTTCCCTCCGTGGGGCACTGGGGGTTAACCAGGCCAAGGGTTCCTGGGCTCACTGCATTTCCCTTAATTGTGTCTGGCTTTACCTGAGGAGACCTGGAGAGCCAAGAACGCTGGCATGAGCATGAGTTCTGTGGTTTAAGGTGAGGCATTAATCATAACTTGTCATCTCTTTACGAACAGGTGGCTCATTAACCAAGTTGGCTTATTATTCAACTGTGCAGCACAAAGTGGCACGAGTGAGATCCTTTGATCACTCTGGAAAGGTGAGAATTCCAGCAGGGATCAGCTGCAGGAAGTTGACTCACAAGAGTGAGGTGCTGGACTGGCTTCTCAGGGGGAGAACAGAAATTTTATCCAAAACCCATTTAATAACTTGTTCTATATAAAACTTTTTGGAGGTGTTTGTATTGCCAGGTAGTGTTTGAAATAGTTATTTTCCAGACAGGTAAGAGTGGTACTTTTGTAAAAAACCCCTACTCCTACACAGACATAAAACTTTTGTCATCCAGAGAGGTTTCATGTGTGTCTGGTGCATGGGAGAATTGATTATCTCAGCTTAAGGAGAATTAAGACCTGTGAAACTCTAACCTTCTTTGACAGAGCTTTAGGTGTTATGTTTAATGGCATTTACACAGTTTCAAGGGAAAAAAGCACAAGTATTGATGTTCAGTAGTTTAGCATTTAACCTTGTTTCTCAAAGAGAGATCTCTAAGAAATTCTCTTCTCTTTTAAAGGACATAGAAAATGAACCCTTGTATGAAATATCTGTTCAGGAAGAGATCACAGCTCGACTTCACTTCATTAAATTTGAGAACACTTACATTGAAACCTGCCTAGATTTCATCAAAGACCATCTTGTCAATACAGAGACAAAAGTCATCAAAGCCACAGGTGGTGGTGCCTATAAATTCAAAGATCTTATTGAGAAGAAGCTGGGGTTGAAGTAAGTGGAACCCTTAAACTCAGTTATAGGAATGTACTTCTCCTTTGATGAGGTTTTGGAGGCCACCCTTCCCTTTGCCACCCACACCCAGCAGGGCTGTGCCTGTCCCAGAGATAACAATATCAGGGGCTGACAGAGGGAGCACAGGAGCTGAGCCAGCACACGGGGGGCAGGGAAGAGAGGAAAGCAGGGCATTATCACAGCTCTTTCCTGTGAAGGATTTAACTTACTCCCACTCCAAAAGCTTCTAACATTTTCCTGGGCATGCTCAAAATTAACTAATGTGATACAGTCACTGGATACCTCCTACCTAAACTCCATGCACAGGCTTGCAGGAGACGAAAGGGCAGCCCCATGAATTCACAGATCAGAAATTTACTGTTCAAACTTCATT